GAGGTCAAAAAGGCGTGTATCCAAAAGTCGACATCCTGGTGAATCTGAAATGCTATAGGCTTATTCTCCATACTTATCATTATTACAACCCCACCTAAGTAATCCTTCCTAATCGAAAACGCATTCCAGAACTTCGGCCAACATTTCCTGAGATCGGTCACATCATACGGCAAAAGAGGACGAACAGTGGTAAGCAGATGGCCATTGCACCTAGGTACTTTCAATGCATATGCCGAGAGATCTCTTGACTTCGACTGGTTATTCACTTGAGGCAGTCGTGTATGACGCAGAGTAATGCTTGCGTTCAGCTCTGAAGCTACTTTCACTGTCCAAACTTAGTGCATTTATAGTCACAGCAGGGACTTTAAGATTTGGCCCACAGAAGGATGGTAACCATTTGCATGCAGCTGGTCAACCAATCAGCTCTCGCTATGAATACGCTGACAAAGCCCTTGCCGGTTGTGGGCGCGGTAACGACGCCCATGCCTGCGCTCGTAATCCAGGAACGAATTCAGGACGTGTGCAGGGTGACAGTTTGGCCGACGATATCCGCCGTTTGCTCCACTGCAGAGCGACTTCACACACAGTGATATGCGCGTAAGTTAGTTCAGAGTGATAGAAGGTAGCCTCAGCGAACTTCGTAAAAGCGAAACCATTGTGCTAACCAGACCGGATAAGGGTTCAGGAGTTGCACTGATGGATAGAATAGAGTACGTAGCAAAACTAGAAGCAGTCTTGTCAGCTCCTACCAAATTCTCGAAATCCGAGCAAGACAGGGACCGCACCGAGGCCGTTGAAGGTCAGCTGAGGGCGGTTCTTAAAGTTCTTCAAAAAGAAGGTCATTCATCAGACAAAGAATATGAGCGAATAAGATAAGTGGGCACGGCCATACCCAGAATGTACGGCCTCCCAAAAATTTACAAACACGGGCTACACCTACGTCCAATCCTGGATAGGAGGAATTCGTCCTATCACACCATAGCAAAATAGCTAATGGAAAAGCTTAAACCGCTGCAAAGTCATCTATACCCCCTGAGTCTGAAGGACTCCTTCGAGTTTGTCGAGGCGATCAAGGATATTAACGTTGACGGACGGAGGATGCTATCATTAGACGTAGCATCACTGTTTACTAATGTACCCGTAGCCGAAACAATAAACTACCTTTGTGACGTTATCCGCGACATGAACTACTCGTTAGGCATGCCGTTGGAGACACTAAAAGAACTACTGACACGGTGCACGCAAAACGTTCAGTTTCTCTGCAATGGTCAACTGTACAGGCAAATAGACGGCGTAGTGATGGACTCACCGCTCGGCCCATTCCTCGCAAATGTCTTCATGGGCAAAGTCGAGATGACAAGTTTTCAAGACACCATTAATGACCTCAGCTTCTACGGTCGGTACGTGGACGATATTTTCTGCCTGACGGATGTTACCACCGACACAGACGCCCTGGTTCAAAAATCCAACAATGCACACCCCTCGCTAACGTTCTCTGCAGAGTTTCAGGCAGACAATGAAATCACGTTCCTCGATTTTCTTCTGCACCGACAAGAGGATGGGTCTATCCAACGTAGGGTATTCTGAAAGAAAACCTGGACGGGACAATAAATTAATGTCCACAATTTCGTTCCCTAAATATTAAACGCAATTTAGTCCGGGGACTGGCAGGTAGAGTGCGACGTATCTGCTCTCCTGAGACTGCTGAGACAGAACTCCAGCAGCTGCGGGATATACTCCACGAAAACAGATACCCAGAAAGATTTATCCTTCAAAATATAGGGGAGCGCACTGCAAAGCCCACCATGGCAACTGCAAAAAAGAAAGACTTATTTATAAGCCTGCATTTTCAAGGGGACGCAGCAAGTAACCTATTAAGAAGACGTCTGAAGACAGTCATCTATAGCGCTTTATTGCGACGAACTTACGGATATGTTTCACGAACTCTCCCCTCCTATGCTTGGGAGGTAAAGACCGACTCCCTTTTGCAGGCCACATCAATATGGATTGACTCATTCACTTGCTTCTGTGGAGCGGGATGCATTGGCCGTACAACAAGACGCCTGGAAAAGAGAGTACGTGAACACATATCGGCCTGGCTAGGCAGAGGTGAAAAGAAATCGATCTCGAGTTCTATCCTCGCACATCTTGTCGATACGAATCACAGAATCGATGCCAAAGAAGCCTGTCTGGTTGTCTACCGGACACCAGCAAGCTTCTCCAGAGACCTACGCTAGCGGGTGATAGTTACAGCTAGCCAATCCAGTGCTATGCTGTCAGAAGACTCGGACACAGGCGCTCTGTCTTCCGTGGCCAACGCCGACCCCAACGGCAGTGTGTGCACAACGTACCCGGCGTACAAACATTACTCACAGCCTATGTGCCCCCCCCCTCTCCCTCGCCCCCTTGACCCAATGACCACGACACGCCGACCACGCCACAGCACGCCTCGTCATGCGAGTGGCGTGGGAACGAGGATTGGCATGGGAACGATGGGTGCTAATAGTCACTGAATCACTTATAAGCCCTGTAACTTTGCATAATAAAAACTTCTGTGTAATCATTTGGCCTGATGAAGAGTTACCGAAAACACGTGTTTGCCAATATTCGCTGAACTTGAACAATCCAAAGATCCCTCGGTGTTAAAGGAACCTAATGGATTCCTAATGTTTGACACCAGACTTTCGGAGGTACATATGACAGCAAAATTCTTATCAGGATGTATTCACAGGGGTAAATATCCGAAACACTATTGGAAAACCATAAGAAGGAACCATGTTGTCACTACCTCAGCCGCACTAAGACGACATGCAGAAAGTCACTTGGAGACGGTTAGTGCCGAAATTGAGGAACTTCAAGGGAGTTTGTGCCAGATAGCAGCGGCCCTGGACCGTCTTGAAAACTGTGAGAGACTGGCGTTTGAAAACTACGTGTCAGCTGATTGTTCGCTTGTCGCGTGCTTGTGATATGACGCCAAGACAGTCCGATCAGCGTATATTTCAGTGACCTCAAGCGCGTTAGATTGCTTATGGTAGGAAATTATGCGCTGAGTTGACCTCACTTGTTCTACCCTATCCTCATCACCAACCCAGCGTCCAGAACGGTCGATCATCTTATCCTAAGATTGGGAGAGGTGACTGACACGGTTAAAAATAGCACGTCTGCGCATACCACACACGACAGTTCGTTCGTCGATTCCGACGATGTCCACTGTGTGTTCCGGAGTAAGGTGAGACAAACACGGTGACTTGCACGTGGTTTATTTTTTAGTGAATGTAGACTTGCACAGCATCTACCGCACTCTCTCCTCCCCCACCTGGGCCTGCTATCAAGACAGAATCAAGAAGGCCGGAGGCGGGGAAGGACGCAGGTGGATGGCACGGTCGAGCCTGCAACTTAGCGCCCCACCCTACACCCCTGGTGCACACAGTAAATGACCAGGATTCTAACCAACGACAACAATGGGGAGGGCCGCAGGGGTCCCAATGTGCGCGACATCTGTCTGCAACTGGGTCTGCAACCGCACCCCGAGATTTTGACATTTGTTATAGTGAAAACAAGCATGTACAGCAGAATTTATTGGGGCCATGTTGGGTCATGTTGTCGACCCTAAAGCATCCTTTCGAGTACTTGTCCGAGCACGTAAAACTCGAACCTTGCGTTATTTGGAAGCAGCCTACATACGGAGGGAGAAACCAGACCTGTGCAAGCAGTTAGATCACGTGATCAATCTGCAATTGCCCTGGTAATCTCACGCCTCTATTTTCCTCTGACTGTGATTTGTTGTTAACATTTCGTCTTCCTTTTTTCCTTTTTGATGCTTATGTGGACTTCCTGGCTGATTATTGATTAATTTGAACTTTGACCTTGCTCCTATGCACTGCCATTCTGTACAAATTCATACTGCTGTGCGCGTTCATTCGTTACCTATGTTATGCAGAGACGGGTTGCAGTTGAAAAGCCGTCACGAAATTTGTTGGCCCCAATAAATTCTGCTGTACATGCTTATTTTCAATTCCTACCGGGGAAAAAATGCTTCAAATTTGTTATAGTGCACATTCCGATAACGCCTACCAGGATCCCATGTGACCCCCGTGTCGGCCTAACGCATCTACTACGTGGCCCGTTTGGAGGACAGGACTGGCGAACCAGTGCCTGGAGCACGAACATATGCCAGACGCATCCGCCTCAACTGCCCTCACTGCTACCGCACATTCACCAACCGCATGAGCCTATCAGGCCACTTGCGCATTCACGAAAACCTGCAGTAGAAAGTGGCCGGCTAAACCACACTACCACATCTTCCTGCACCTACATCACGCAACACCATCCTCTACCACAAATATCCAATTGCCACCTCCCACGCAAGTGGGAAGTGCGCGTCTCCATGCGGCTCCTCTGCTGAATGTGTGATTCGAGTCTGAGGCTATCACGATGCGTCAAGCGCTGTGGCTCGAAAGGCTGCTGACTGACGCCGCAACTCAATCCATGCACTGGCAGTTCTCTGAGACCTGTTTCCCTACCGGTAGATGCGCTTGCGCTCCCGCTGGGTATACAGGTGATGTGCGTGGGTGCCCATTCACCTTCTGACCCCTGTTGGGGTGTTGTTGTTGCTGTTAGTGAGAAATCCTGCACGAATGTACGTCATGGACCAGAGGGTGTGGTGGTACGTCTAGGTGCGGGTCCGGCCGTGCCAGCCATTTGCACCCTCCACGCCTCCGGTCTTTTTGACTCTGTCTAGACACCGGTTCCGGGGGGGGGATTGGAGTGTGGTAGATGCTCTGCAAGTCTGCCATTGATATAAACTAATTCACGCACAACTCACCGTCCCTGCTTCACCATTCTGTGGAGCACACGGTGGACATCGTCGGAATGGACGGTCGAACTGTCGGTTCGCCAGCTTCTGTGCGATGGATCCGCAAGTGATCGACCAGGCCGATGTGCGAGGTGAATGTACAGAGACAGTGTGGACAGGAAAAGTCGGTGGTGTCCCTGTCGGTCTAGGAGATGGTGGCAGTTGTGGAGCTGTTGATAGTGGACGCACTGGGCGACGGGTGTTTTGGGCTGGGCATGTTGGGCGTGCAAGGTGTGCTCGTTGTGGCGGGGCTGATGGTGGTGGGTGCGTTGGGCGACGGGGTGTGGGTTGGGCTAGGCATGGCGAATGTGCATGAGGTGCTAGGTGTGTCGAGACTGCGGTCAGTTCCGTTCTCGTAAATGCCCATGTTACCTGGAAGGCCCATGCGGTGGCTGAATGTATGGGAGCAGTGTGAACTGTGGTGGCGAATGTGGCGGGTGTAGGTTGGTGCTCCAGGAACTGGTTCGCCAGCCTCTGTGCGATGGATTCGCAAGTGACCGACCAGGCCGATGTGTGATGTGGAGGTGCGGTCGCAGTGAGAACGGGTATGGACCGAGTTCACATCGCTGGTGTTGACGGTTGATGCTTGTTGGGGCGTCAGGATTGTGTGCAGGGGTTGTGGGTATAGGAGCCGACAACGATTGGGTGTAGGATGCCCAACAAACTTGTGCTGGCCTGTGGACCATGTCATACGTTGGATGGTGGTAGAGGGTTTTGCGGGTGGGGCAATACACAGGACGGAGGGCAAGTAGACACGGAAAATGGACAAATTTTTGCCGAAAGTCCTGTCGTACGCTGTCATTTGGCAAAGAACGTGAGCGGGACAATTAAAAAATGAACAAAAAACGATTTTCAAACATAGCGGACTTTGAATAAAGCACCGCTGGTAAGTTTACATTTATTCATGAAGGGAAGGAAATCGCAAATAATGAGAACGGTGAATTATAAGTAATGTTTGCATTTACACTGAATTTAGGATATATTTTTGGGATTGCCATCTACTTGGGGGCCCTAGTCCTATCGTTATTCAGGAGCCACGGCAACAGATGTTGAGGCAATGGAGGAGGAGGAGGAGGAGGAGGAGGAGGAGGAGGAGGATGAAAGAGAGGGATGGTAATGGGGGATCATGAGTGCGGTCACTGTTGGTTGTCGGCGTGGGAGATAAGGCAGAGTCTAACGGGGAGGCAGCAACTGGTGTAGCTCGAGTGCTGCAGTCGGTACGAAGATGACCTATAAGACCGATTGGTGTCGGGAACGTCCGCTGGCAGCGTGAACAGGTGGGGGGGGGGGGGGGGGGGTTGATGGTTAGCGTTACGAGGCGAGAACAATTGAGCTTTGCGAGCCTCCCGTTTGGCTTTGGCGGCGGTGATGCGGTTGGCTTCAAAAATCGCTGCGCCTGTCTTCACTGTCCTCCTCCAGGTCGGTCTCGGGCGAGGCCTTCCCAATTGGCAGGGTTGATCTGCAGACGCTTCGGGGGAGTCTTCAGAGTGTCCTCGTAGAGACGGACTTGACCTCCTTTCGGCGGATCCCGTGGCGACCTCCCCATAGAAGAGTCGTTTGGGTAGCCGGCCGTCGTTCATCCGCACGAGGTGGCCGCTCCAACGCAGTCGCAGTTGTTTCAGCATGGCGTAGATGCTGAGGATTCCCGTCCGCTCAAGCACATCTGTGTCCGAGATCCGGTCCTGTTAACTCAGCTTCAGCATCCCTCAAAGACAGCTGAGGTGAGAATGATTGAGTCTTCGCGCCTGCTTCCTGTACACCGTCCAGGTCCCAGCTCCAGCGTCGGTAGGATGGCCGCCTTGTACATCTTCGGTATGGTGTTGAGATGGAGATCGTGACGGTTCCAAACGTGTTTTGCAGACGGCCGAAGGCTTGGATGGCTTTGGAAATCCGGCGGGCAACTTCGTCGTCGATTTTGGTGCTGCCGGTGAGGATGTTGCCCAGATAAGTGAAGTTGTCCACCACTTGCAGTTGGGTGCCGTTCACGCCGATTTGGGTTTTAACGAAGGTAGAGTAGGGTTGTGGTTGGTGTATAACCACCGTCTTCTCCATGTTGATGATCAGGTCAAAGTTGTCTCGAAGTTGTCCATGCTCCTTTTTCTGTCTGCTTCTGAGGTGGCGTTGAGGGCGTGGTCGTGGGCGAAGAGAGGTTCGTGGACGGTAGTTGTGGAAACACGCCGTCGGAAGTGTATCCGCCGATGATTAAGGAGGTGGCCATCCGTCCTGTAGGCGATGCAGACCTCAGGGCGTTCGTCACGGTAGGCGCCCATCAGTAGGGCGGAGAAGGGGGTGGACGCCAGGACACATCACTGCTCCATTCCGTTGGTTGCTGCGAATGCCGTCCGTGACTCTCGCCGTCATGCCATTGTGGAACTGACGCACCATACGAGCGAATCGCTCGAGACAGCTGAATTTCTGCATGATTTTCCACAATCCGTCACGATTCACCGTGTCAACTGCTTTTGTCAGATCCACGAAGGTAGAGTAGAGGTGGGTCCGCATCTCCTGGCACTTCTCCTGCAGTTGGCGGGCGGCGAAGATCATGTCGGTGGTTCCACGATGACGGTTGAAGCCGTACTGGTTTCCAAACAGAAGACCCCGCTCCAAATGGTTGTTAAAACGGCTGAGAAAGATGCGGGTGAAGATCGTCCCCGCGATATTCAGCGAAGAGATGCCTCGGTGGTTGCCGCCGAGCTGGCGATTACCTTTCAGCCTATAGAGATGGACGATTGTGCCGTCGTTTAAATCCTGTGGACTCCTCCTTGACGCCACATCCCCTGGAAGAGCGCCGTCAGATGATCCACGAGTTGGGGACAGCCGTGCTTGTAGACCTCGACAGAGATCGCGTCCGGGGACAGCCAGGGCGATCGACTGGACTGTGTCACTCAGTTGGCACCATCGGTTCTCTACGGAGGTCTCCTCATCGGCGTCGGCGGCGGCAGCGACTGGAAGGTTAGTTAGCATTCGAGCCAGTTCATTGCTGAAATGGGGTTTCCCGTCCCACTCTAAGCTAGCTGGTTACTGAAGTATAGATGGTGGTCAAACAAATACAACAGTACGGTATGCAACAGAGCGGTATTTAGCTTACAACAAGGACAAACAGAAGCATGCAAGAGCAAGCAAAGAGACATATACAAGAAACCAATATTCAGCTTACCTGGGGGGCCACTTACCGTGTGGCCTCCTGCGGGGTTGTAGACGGTGATCTGCAGGACTTTCGACCCCGAGGTTGGAGAGTAGAGGGAAGTAGAGAGTAGAGGGACAGATGGGAAGAGCGGGAGATAGGTGTGAAGGAGTAGAAAGGAGCCGGTCGTCCATCCACTGGGTCAGGAACTTGCTGAGTGCTTGCGCCCTCCTGTGGGGTTACACACGGAGCTTCATCTCAGAGACGCCGGGACGGTGATCCATTCGGCCAGCGGCGGTGGGAGTGGAGCCGAACTACCGTGAGTTATGAGATGCACATACGAATACCCTTCCCGATTTGACCCGCCGGTCGAGGCGGTTACCGAAATATGGCGGCTAGGCAGAGCCTACCTTCGGAGAGCCACATATGAGAGTTGGATGCCAATTAGCGGGCGCCAGGCGTAGTCTACGCCTGCAAGGAAGTGAGCGGCCTACTATGACCATCGTGTGGGCCCACAACTGCACACCCGGACGCATACACACGCACGACAGTTCGACCGTCGTTACTGACGGTATCCACCGTGCGCTCCACAGCAAAGTGAGAGCAGGCGCGGTGACTTGTGAGTTAGTTGTTTTTTTTAGTAACTGCAGACTTTCAAAGCATCTACCTCACCCTCTCCCCTCCTATTTCCAACCTGGACCCGGTGTCAAGACAGAGTCACGCACACGCACACGCACACACAACCTGTCTCTCCATACGCATACGTCAGGGTTTCCAACAGGGGAGAGGCTGCTCGGATCTCCTATGCAGAAGTAGCCGAAGAAAACGCTTCCAACTTTTGCGATAGATGCCCGTGCCGTTCGATGTTGGAGATGTTCACTTGTGAGGAATGTGCTGGTGGGGAAATGTCTGTTGGTGTGGTGTGGTGTACGGTTATTTATCGCAGACTTCCGTGGAGGCGCATTTGACCGAGTGGGTCTAGGCAATGCCTAGAAGTGCGGGGGCAATTGGCACAGTTGACGCGATGGCGGCCGGTGTGTGTTGGTGTTCCAGACGCTGGTCGGCCAGTCTCTGTCCGATGGGTCCGCAAGTGGCCCACCAGGCCGATGCGTGAGGCGAATCTGCGGTGGTAGTTAGAGAGAGGCTTAGTCGGATCCATGTGAGTGAGGGAGGAGAGGACGCAGTAGATGCTGCAAAAGTCTCCTGCAGGCCGGTAGGGCCGCGCCCACTCCCGGGACACACGGGTGAAACCGTCGCTCGTGACTGTCGAACTATCACCGCCTCAGGTGGGTTACAGGTCGTTCTAACTGTCTATTTACACGAATAGCCCGAATGTCGCCAACAGGAAACATCGTACGCTTGGTGCGTTTATTGCACTTATTTCAGAAAGTGATTTTAATTCTCCGCAACCAAATGTTGATGAAGCCAGGTTACAACTGTATTATTATGGGTTGGGAAGCCTCGCTTAATGGGTTTAACGAGTAATAAGTGCCGACTGCGGATTAACCAGTACCGCCATTGTCTCTAGTCCATGCCTTTTACCTGTTCTTTTGACATCTGTTAGTGTGGATTCGAAGGAGTCCGTAGAAAGTCAGCAGATAAGCATGCCGATCGTTTGTGACTTTATTACCAGGCGGCTTTCGCTACGGTCCACGATCTCGGCGACATAAGATTGGGACGCGTGGCCAGCCTGGAGGTAAGAGTTGCCACATGACCTCGGATTCAACCTCAGCACCGCAAGTTGGTGTTCTTGCACCCTTATCTGCAATTACCGCCCAGCTTTCCCAACACAATGGCCTTCTTCATAACACTACTTTGACTCGCACCTGACAGATGACTTCTCGCATTGGGGATGTAGTCTGATGGGTGCACAGCTGGAAACTCCAACTCCGTGTGGCGTAATTTGTCGTCGTCTTTGACTCGCCACCACAACGTGGACTAGTTGGTTTCTTCGACACTGTGTGCTTGGTGCAACCAAGCCCCCTCTGAGTACTTTCGCTACTAACTGTTTAGTCATAGCATCTTTCAGAAGTGCTTGAGTTCGGCCTCTCGACAATTTGCTTCGTTCTGCAGCGGGTAGCTACTCTGAAAACTGATGATCTGAAGTCTGCTGTTGCCAGTTAACCGCCATGTCGACGGACGCACAATAAAAATCATCAACATGGGTGCGTGCTTTCCTCTACGGTAGCCCAGAGAAACAAGTGATTTTCAAGGAGTGTTACCTGGAAAGGAGTCTGCAACAGCCGTCCTCTGCCATGCGAGTGAATATGAATATCAGTGAGGAGGGGCGACAGAGAATGCGGATAGATTGATACAGCACTGTTTCGGGCTTATTCTGCCTTCATTCAGCCAATCATAACCCTGACCACCAGCAGCTGCGACCAGAAACACAAACATGCGCACAGACGCACCTAGTGCAGTTGGTCCACCACTGGGGTCTACCAGATGGGTCATAAGCACTTCATCGAACCGAAGTTCATCAGCGCCTCGCCACCTGTCATTCCCTGTCGCTGCAGATCGGGTATTTATTCAATCATCTGGTAGACCCCAGTGGTGAACCAACTGCGCTAGGTGCGTCTGTGCGCATATTTATGTTTCTGGTCCCAGCTGCTGGTGGTCAGGGTTATGATTGGCTGAATGAAGGCACAATAAGCCCGAAACAGTACTGCATCAATCTACTCGCATTCTCTGTCGTCCCTCCTCGCTGCTATTATGACTTGGCCGACTTCGGCCTGGTAATTGGTTGCCTGTTCGTGCCCTTTGCCACCCATACGGAGGTTGTTTGCTTCCTGAAGCCAGTAGATCAGTGTGCGCTCATTCCTGATTGAATATGAATATGTTTAGACCCGTCTCACCCCTCACCTTCCAGACAGGTGAGTTGAAAGGCCAAACTGCTCCGCTTACTGTTCTGAAGTCATTTCCACCCTGCTAGCATTTAGGCCTGGTTTTTTGCCTCAACAGGCAGTTCCATTAGAACACAAAAATTCTTTTACCCTGGAACCGGGAATCACGGCAGACATTTAGCTGTCTAACGCAGATAGGGGATTGCACGCAAGACGTGGAGAATGCCCGGATCCACTGGCCAGCCAATCAGTGCGTGGCATGAAAACCCAGACAGAGCGCTTGTCCGTTTTGGACGCATGGACGATGGCGTTATTGGTGCAGGCAAACTAGGCACACTCGGTTGGCCGAAAACTTAAACCCCTATAGTCTGTGAAAATTGGAGAGCACGTAGTAATTACCCATTCGGGCGGTTAATCAGCCCTAATTGCAGGATGTGTCAGGCTTATTTTCAGAAGTGGCGTTCAAGAGCGTAGAATAGCGGCACCTCAGAGGAGCCTTTCGACCAATCTGGGGTCAAATTGCGCTACGAACACAAAAAAGTTGCCATTGGTGATTCTCAAAACTGCCTACCTTGTGTGTAGGGATGTGTGTACACAATCACCCCCCACATTCAGTCTTTTAGGAGTCGACTGCTACTTTATATGCATTCCTGGGGTTTCGATGCTTGCCACCCCGAAAGCACCGAAGATTAGGATCAAACATGGTGAGACAGCCAGGCAGAAGTTTATATTGAGTGTTAGAATTTTTTGGTCCTGGAAGGTAGGTGGTGAGCTTTGGAATTTACAATGCTCTGAATGGCCCGTCATGTGTATTTATCCGATAAGAACTGCTGGTGCTGGGACGTAAGTGGATCATCCGCAAAGACAGAGGACGCCCATCGTCTCTTCTCAGTCACTAACACTGATAAAATAAACCAAATAACCATGTCGGGTTGGCAACGGTATAGAGAAGGACCCCCGCCCACCCCTTAATTGTCAGTAAACTATGGATCGTGTCCTATGGGGTTTTATCGTAACATACATTTGCAGGCTGTTGCAGAAACTACACTGCCAACAACGATTATTTCCCACGACCTCAAACCTTAACTCAGAATCCTTTATTTTGCGAAATTTACTTTTTGTTTATTGGTTTTAGAGTTGCGAAAATTCCCATAGCAGCAATCAGAATACGAGGTGGCGAGCATACGTAGCTTTCGATAAATTCTCGTCGGGCCAGTACAGTTATATAGGAACGGGGTAGAAGTAAAACATGCAAGCGATAAGAGAAATCGATAAAAGTACTCCTTAAAACAAAGGCGGAGTGTGGGACTGTGGGGGAGGGAGTGGGGGGGGGGTAATAGTAGTCATTGTCAGGGGCGGGGTGAGAGCGGAAGTGCGCGGGGGGAGTTGCACCGTTAGTCAGCCTTCGACCACTGTAGGCGCGGAGCCTGAACGTGGTTCTTCTGGGCGCATAAGGTTGGCTTTCGTAACCTAATGGCGGCCGCTTCCGCTGTCGCTAACAGGCGCTGGCCTAGTAGCTTAGGGTAGCTCGATGTGACCTTATAAATCACACGAAAGGCTTCGTCGCACGATGGCCGGAATCGGCAACATGCGCGAGAATGGTGCTGCTTATACTCCTCGTTTCACCTTTTCCCACCCATGCCGGGAGGTGTTCCCGTATTCTTTTGGATAAGCGCCGACTCGTGCGACCAATATAACCTGCTCCACAGGAGCAAGTGAAGGAATATATGCACATTGAGGTGATCTGCGGTGGCAACTTATCCTTACCTTCTTCGCGTAAAATATGGTTAGTAGAGAATGATATTTGAACCCTTGCTGCTGGGAAGGTTCGCGAGACAGCTTGATGAAGGCGCCTCCTTAGGAGTTCACTCGTCGCATCCCCTTGGAAAGGGACTTCGAGGAACAAAGTTTTCTTTTCAGCGGTCGGTGTGGCGGGTTTAACCGGTCTTTCGGCAATGTTCTTTGCAATCAACCTGTCAGGATACCCGTTTTCTCGA